ATAAAACACGTGGAATAAATTTTCACAATATGAGAACAGAGATACATAGTATATTTCACTGATGCTTGCATCATCACCTTAAAGAATGATTAGCCTGGAATTAATTTGGCTCTCAGTGTTAATTGTAGAAAGTTGTTTTGTGCATCAGTTATTGTATATTTTCAGCTTTTTATCCATAGCTATTTTTAAATACAGCAATAAAAATCACTAACACTATAGGATCATCTGTTTAAAAAGGACTAATTTGTGTTCTGTTAATTCCTTTTTTAATTTTAACGGCTGTCATTTGTAGCAAAGAATAATCTCATTTGCTATATACTTTGTTCCTGAGCATTTATTTCCTTTCCCAGCTTTCTTTTTCTTAAGAACTGGCTTTTCTGAGTAGGACCGCCAAACTTTTAGAAGCTTTCCGTTGAGGTAAATGCAGAAGTGTATAATGTATACACGTTGCTTAACAGCCTATTTTTGCATTTACTGTATGGAGAAATCCTGGCAAATTTGAGGGCATGCAATATAGAAATGGCAACCCTTTGGAGTCTAGAATAGGGAACAGGCACCAAGATGTGTGGATTTCCCTGTGCTAGGGAATGTGTGCTTCCCTAGTCATATGCAAATTCTCCCTTGCTCGTGAATTCTGCCTTTCACTGTGTGCAGAGCCTTGTGTTCACGAGGAAGCATGGCCATACTGTCAAGGCTTCAGCATTTTCCTAAAATAATAATAATAAAATAGAAACTGCAGAAGCTTAGAGCTCAGAGTTCCCACTTTGTGGGCAAAAGCTATAACTACAGTCAGTCAAGTAAAATTTGGACCCAGCTACCTACTTGTCTGTCTTTCTGCAGCCCAGTTTAAAATAGCAGTTGAACCACTTGTCTGTGACTGTTGGGGCAACGAGGATGTTTCAGAGACCATCACCGCTAACCATTGTGACTGATGCTGCTGATACGGCGTTTGAGTTTTCATATACAGTGAACATACGTCTTAAGGCGTGAGTTGAAACTCCTTAAGGCTTTCGCATACATTAGTGACGAATCGCCTTGTCACTACATTGACTGACCTTAAAGCTAAAAAAAATCAGGCCATGCAGCCCTCCATATCTAAAAGTTCAAATAGGCAGGTCCCTAGAAAACAATGTTAGAGGGCAGAATGAAATCCTCTGACGCTGCCAGATGTTAGGTTTGCATTTACTCAACTCACTAAGCTGAGAGAGTAATGCAGGTGGAAATGTCAGACAACAGCATAGTGAAGCTTGAAGTCTGAATATTGGCAATTATCTTTTTTTGCTGTCTCCCCTCTTTTAAAAAAAAGAGAGATGAAATTTTACTATAACAAAATGATATAAATTGCTACATTTTGTTAATACAAATCAAGTGTTAAATGCTTAACATTTATTCCTTAGTACAATATAATTTGGTTACCAATTTTTGAATATAAAGGTGGCAAAGATAGCCTTTAATCAGAGATGAGAGAGTCAATCTAATCGGCCCATTGGTGTCAGAAGAAGTAGGCCTCTCTTCCTTCCATCTTTGCACCAGCTCTTTTACTTGTAACAGGTCTTTGAACTCATTCAACTCCCTAACCGAGGAGAAAATTATACAAGCAAAAAAGTTTTCTGCCGAGTTACTGGGTTGAGTCAGTCCATTGAATAGTCTGAGCATCAGACTTGGTGCAAGGGGAGGAGTGAAGCAGTTGGAGGAGAAGCAATGAGATCAATAGTTGTATTTTGTGTCCCTGAGCCTTGCTTCTTTCTGATGCTGCTGTTGGAAGAAGAGGAAGAAAAACCAGTGATGTAATTGCATATTGAAAAACCTGGTCATTTTGAGGAAAGTTTAGTAAAAACATTTTATCATACGCTTTTTTCCCCCAAGAAATTAACTAGAAGAGTAAATGTAGAAGTGACTTTCTGCGGAATTCCCATACATTCTCTTTAGTAATCCTACATTTATGTGCCTTGTGGCAGAATATTTCTCCTTTCTTTAGTATTTTGCACGTCACAGGTATATTACTGATACTTTATGCGTAATAAATACTTAAGGGTTTTCCAAACTATGATTTAAAGACCATAGTTTGGTAGCTTACTCATGGAATCCTGTAGCTTTCATTGTGCTTTAAGTTAGGTGCCCAGCACTGGATGCAGCACTGTAGATGTGTCCTCACCAGTACTGAGTAGAGGGGAAGGATCACCTCCCTCGACCTGCTGTCAATACTCTGCCTAATGCAGCCCAGGATGCTGCTGGCTGCCTTTGTGGTAAGGGTGTATTGCTGGCCTGTGTTCAACTTGTCCACCAGGACCCCCAGGTCCTTCCTGCCGAGCTGCTCGCTAGCTGACTGGCTCCCAGCCTGTACTGGGGCAAGGGGTTATTCCTCCCCAAATGCAATGCTTTGCATTTCCTTTTGTTGAACTCGATGAGGTTCCGCTTTGCCCGTTTGTGCAGAGCTGAGTGCTCTTGAGGATGCTCTGAATGGGAGCACAACCATGTGGGGTATCAGCTGCTCCTCCCAGTTCTGTCATCTGCAGACTTGCTGAGGGTGCACTTGGTCCCCTCACCCGGGTCGTTACTGAAGATGTTAGACATTACTGGCCGCAGTATTGATCTCTGGGGTACATCGCTAGTGACTGGCGTCCAGCTGGACTGATCACAACCCTTGGAGCTCAGTAATTCAGCCACTTCTCAGTGCACCTCACTGTCCACTTACCTAGTCTGTGTTTCATCAGTTTGTCTATGAGGATGTTATGGGAGACAGCGTTGAAAGCCTTACTAAAGTCAAGATAAACAACCTCCACTGCTCTCCCCTCGTCCACCTCATTGTAGAGGGCTGTCAGGTTGGTCAGGCATGATCTCCCCTTTGTAAATCCATGCTGAGTGCTGCCAGTCGCTTCCATGTCCTTAATGTTTTGAAATGACTTCCAGGAGGATTTGCTCCATCTCCTTCCTAGGGATCGTGGAGAGGCTGACCTGCCTGTAGTTCCCTGGATCCTCCTCCTTGCCCTCCTTGAAGATAGGAGTGACGTTTGCTTTCTTCCAGTCCTCAGGAACCTGGCCCGTTAGCCGTGACCTTTCAAAGATTATTCTTAGTAAACCTTAAAAGTACCATTGTTAGGTTTAAAATTTTGTTTCCTTGCCCTTTTAGAGGTGAAATTAGGTAGCTGTTTCATAGCTGTAAATTGCTACTTTTCAGATGTTATTATCAGTGATAAAATAGCTACTAGTGCCAAAACAGCAATTTTATACCACTTTGTGGGCTTTTTAAAATAATTTCCATGACTTAAACAACTTTGGATATTGTTCTTCTGCTTATGTTAGGGAAGGGGAATGTTTAGCGCACATTGCAGAAGTTGAAAATGCTCCATAAAATAAAAAATACAGTTTAAGATCAAGTTTTGTTTCTATCATGAAAAGAATTTGCCAACTTTATTCTCTATAATAAAATAATACTCTTTCTATCCTAGTTTTTAGCTAATTAATTTTTACTTACAAAGACGTTAATCAGTGAAGATAGTGTAATGTTCCCCAAGATTTCCAGAGAGGGTAGAATCTCTTTTGCGTCTTGTTTTGAGAATTCATTTATATCTTTGTCTGTAATCAGTATCATAAATAGACAGAATTTCATGTTTTGCTGTTATTTTTCCAGTAATGGCAATTTTTCAGTTCCTTAGGTATCTTTCTGAGTCGATCAGCTCCTTGAATGTTTGTTCCTGACCCTTTAACTAATATTCCCTGATGCTGGGGGAAGTTTTGTCTGTGACTAATGAAAATAACTGGTTCATGTCCTCTTTGCAACAACATCCTTTAAAAATATTTCTAGGCTTACCCTGCCTAATCTGAGACATCTTTTTATCAGTTGAAACGCATCTTAACTTTTCCATGTGTTCAGACATTTTTTGGAGGACCGGCAATCACAGCATTATTGATGCAAATACATTGATTTGAGATTTCTGTTTCTTATTTGTACATAATACATTAGATTTTTTAATAGATTGTGTAAAAGAATAAATGTACTGTCTTTCTCACTGCTCTTTTTGTTTCCATTTCCATCTTTACAGAGCCAGAATAAGAGCATAATGGCGTTTTTCAAATTAAAAAAAGTAATAAACTCAGCAAAACCATCCACTTATTGCCTTATAGGAATCTGAAAAGTAAAGAAAGTCTTTACCTTATACTAGAAAAAATATAAGACAAGACTGGTATTCAGATAAATAGGCAAAGCATATATCTTTAAAGGGCCAGATACACACATCTTACATTCTTTTTGAACTCTATAAAATGTGTTCTGATTCTGACTGTTTCAGTTAGGATCATTTCAAACAGGAACCACAGATGATGCAGAGTATTCTTATTCTGTGTACAGCCCGAATACTTTAAGCTTCTACAGGTGCACAGAAAGCAGTGGTCTAAAAATTGACTTACTGCTGCTTGACATGTTACTGCCCAGCATCTGAGTGTGTGAAACATCCATGTACGTGGATGTACTTCTAGCCTCCTTGCCTACAGCAAATGCCGAGAGAACACCACTTGAGTTAGCCTGAATGCAGTTGAGGTGAGCCACGTTGCATTACCTGAGTTAACATGGGGAAGAGCATGAGCCAACTGATGTGTAATAACTTGATTTGGGTCTCGATCTTACGCTAGCTGCCAGCTTCTATTTTTGTTCAGGTCAGAAGGACAACAGTGGTGCTGAAAGAGTCCAGAGCAGTTTTGCTCTGCTGCTCCTTGACAAACAGATAAGCAGCTATCAAAGTATATGTTTAAAGATGTAACCAGAAGCTGTCCTTAAGAGTTCTAAGCTGGTTTCAGAAGCAGTGATAATCACCATATTCCATTTGTTCCTAACCGCAAAATACCACAAAACTGAGTTGCACAGCAGATATTTGAGGAGTGGATCTTGCTTTCTTGTCCTGCACATTTCATTTTTTTATGAGGTGATAAAACGTTATGCAAGTGCAAATGAAAGGATGTTAATAAATGTTAATAAATTAGTTTTTGTTTTCTATTTCTTTTAGGACTCCTCCAGGATGGCTTCAAGCAGATTTAAAAGGTATGAGATCTTCATACTCAGCACATTCTAAAATTCTACTTAGGTATTTAGATCTACCAGAAATAAAGATGATTGAATATGTCAGGTGCTTGTAGTACATACAGGCCACTATACTACTACTGTAGATTTATAATCTGATTTTTGGGTACACCAAACTTATTGAAACCCCCTATGTTATGTTACTATTTTAAAATAAACTCAGCTGGTGTTTTGCTGGGTCTAGTGCAGAACAGTTTCCCAAGTAAATATCTACCTTGGGATTTTTGCCTAACACGACTTAGAAGCCAGTTGTTTCACAATTAAGGTATATGAACCACCATCATCTGAAGTTTATTATAGGAGGATAATTTTGTTGCTCCCTACGCTAATGTTGAAAGAGATTGTCATGATTTCTGTTGTACTGCTATCTCAGTTTTTTAGGGAATACTGCCCGTGTAGCATGTCCTGTTCTACTTGTTACTTGTCTTGTATTTGAGCCAAGTGGTACTCTGGTCACGGCTCAAGTCTGTCAGTCAGAAAAACATTTCAAATTTCTCAATGCCACCTGGCCAGAGCATGCAATTTTTGCCCATAGAAAATTAATATTGACACACAGCCATCACAGTTATTGCAGAAATTTACGGTAACATGGGGGATAAAAGGTGTCAACTGAAACCAGACATTTGTTTAAATATAATTTTATATATTATATAAATATTTTAATATATT